CCATCCCTGTTGCGAACCATATATAGGGCTCCATCTGTAAACCGACAAACCAAAATTAACAAAATTAATTTTTATCAAGATCAAAATTTGACATATCAGTTCTCTTACATTTTTTTACTATTGTATATATCGTATTTATAGGGTAATTTAGCTGTTATGCTTTTTTAAAGAAATATGTAAATTAATGTTAAGATACAATAATTTAATTTTGCCCCTTCCATTCTTGTAAAATATACCACTCGAAAACCATAAAATTATCGACTTTAAAGAGATGGCGAAACAATCGTTGACGATGTTCTTGCTCATGAATAACGAGTTAATATTAATAAATTAATGTGTGGTGTTTAGTGACAGTTAGCCAATGATTATTTGGAGATCGTGACATGCGGTCTGGTGTGACGTAGGTTTTAGAAAAACATTTTCTTTATCATGCTAACGTTTCGATCATTATTGAGATCATCTTCAGGGCCTGGGATTTACAAACATTGTTTAAATTTTACAAATACATGTAGGATGCGAAAAAAATGAATATATACAATGCTACAATATTTTAGATCAAAAAATGAATTTATACAATGCTAGAAAATTCATTCTTTTTCTTTTTTTAAATCTAAAATTTTCTGCATGTATTTGTAAAATTGAAACAATGTTTATAAATCCCAGGCCCTGAAGATGATCTCAATAAAGATCGAAACGTTGGCATAATAGATTATAAAAGTTGCCAATGATATATTGAAAGGCCATCGTTTTTCAATAATCTGGGAACCAATCTTTCTGAAGGCATGTGATGTTTAAATTTTGGTTCAGAAAATCACTCAGCACTCCTGATAAATCAATTTTACATGTAGCGGAGTAAAATGCATATTTATCCCGGAAGAATAAATTGTATAATAAATTTCAGTAGAAGTACGAATGTAAATTCGGTAGGAAGGATGTTGGTGGTTATCGCGAGATCTGCATGTCTCATTGTTGCCACCGCTGCCAACCGTGAATTGCCTTGTATCTATGTCAATTATACTTGGTAATTTCAAGGGCTTACTTTTTTCCTCGTAGATCTAATCCAATTGTAACTGCTTAACCGTGATTTTTGTACAGATGTGCTGATTTGAGTGTCGAAAGTACGGAATTGAATATGAAAACTTCCATACTTTCCTCATCCTTTCAAGTAAAAGGAGTAGGAAAATAGTAATCAATTGTGAAATTTTAGAGTTTATAGAAAGGGAAGTTACGATAGACAAATTGTAGAAACATTTTATTGCTAGATGAATATATTAATGTGACATTTTCTCTTAAAACGCGGCTGACAGACCTAAAACAGCAAGGGTAGACTGGAAAAAATAATCTGGAACGACCAAACCATATAATATATTATTGTTATTGGAATTAGCCCTGACAGTCCGGGATTATATCTCGGTGTTGAACGTCCTTCTCATCACTGGGACCTTCACTATGAACGAATTATCACAGAATTATTATTTTTTTATTTCCCTTTCCACCACCCCGCCGTACCTGAGGAAGACCCCATACCGGCGGACAAACGTTTTAGGTTAATGAATTTATAAATCTAAGGAACTTCAAATAAATGTGATAAAATTACTTTCCAACGATTTTTCCTTCAGGTGAGACCGCTGGTCGGTTTTCGAGAGAACAATATTTTCGCTTGAAAACCTAAAACAAAACGTCTTCCCTTGCTGGTTTCCCCTTGCACACATTTTTGTGATTTTATTTTCTATATATTTATATTATCTAAAAAAAAATTCCAACTAAGAAGAGAAAAACAGCTCGGGACCCTACACCTAAACCTATGTTTAATTATTCAATAAATAAATAAATGACGGTAATAAAACTCTAATAATAACGTGTGTGTGTGGTGATTAGTGACCGTTAATCGATAATTATTCAGAGATCGTGAGATTCGGTATGGTGTGATGTAGGTTTCAGAAAAACATTTGTTGTTTTACACGACTCGCAAGAATGGCACAATTACACAGAAGACAAACACTTTGATCCCTGAAGATGATCTCAATAAAGATCGAAACGTTGGCACGATAAAGAAAATGTTTTTCTGAAACCTACATCACAGCAGACCGCATCTCAAGATCTCTGAATAATTATCTAATAATAACAACAATATATAAGACTTAGTAAGCAGAATAAACAGGGACTTGTTCATTTAAGCGTAGTTCGGGTAAAGTCTTTTAGTGCTACAAAAGATTAGTTTATGGAGCATTCTGCTGTGACGGCCTTTCGCAAACGTTCTCTTTCTGCATTGAATTTAGCACAGTTGAAGAGGTTATGCTCGGCGTCTTCTTCAGTGCTGCAAACGGAGCATAAAGGGCTGTCTCTTTTCTTAAATGTATGGAGTTAGATTGCAAAGTTTCCATGCCCTGATAACATTTGGATGGTCCGGTAGTCGGGGTGCAGCCATTTTTCTTTTTGTCTCCTTTCAACGCTTGGGAAATACTTGTTTGTAGGGTATTCGCTATGAAACAAAGACGTTGATCTCCTGCTGCATAGTTTTTTATTATTATTTTTTATTGCTTACTGCACAAAATTTTTACATTTAGCGATGTGATGGTGTTGAACAATAAATTAAAATTCTGGTAGGAATCTGCCAGATCACGGGTCCATTGCTGGAGCTCTCAGTGTTTATGATGATTGGTGAATTGGTTTAGGGTATTGTCAACAGACCACTGTCTTTTTAGGCAATGTGGAGTGTTAGGGCGGGACGTTGAAGGGAGGGCTTGGGCTAGAGGATTGGCGTGAAAGGAGAACCTGGAGGGAACCTAAGCCCTTCCAACATTTCAGATAGAGGACTTCTGATTTTTGCGAACATACAGTAATAGTACTAAACTCCTCCTCGAAATTACGCTGCCGGTTGCTTTTTACTATAACTTTGTCATTTTTGATCAATTTAAAAACCGATTGGACCGTTGTGTTGAGCGTAAAAGCGTAAAAAATTCTTTAAAATGATTTGAAGTTGAACTAGGCCTGAGGTACCTTGTATAATTTTTCTTAGAAAAAAGGTCAAAATTTGAAAGTAGACTAAAAAATATTAAAAACGTATTTTTTGTTTTTTTGATAGTGTCATTGGTTCAAGAGAAATTCAGCCTGACCATCTAAAAAGGACACAGAGAGAGAGAGAGAGAGAGANATTAGCCGGCCGCCACAGGAGGTGCACAGTTGCATGCACAGTTCACTTTCCTGTTCATTGAGCGTTTCGTCCGAGTTATGTCAGTCAGAGCTACGAAGGATAGCCACAATAATCCGCATCAACATGTGTTTCCAATTTTATTTACAACTTCAAACATTTGCGTATTTGCATAGCGAAACCTGCAGGGATACAACGTGTTATTTTAATGGTAAATGTTTGTTTAAACAGCAGTTTATTTCTCATGAGAGAGAGAGAGAGAGAGAGAGAGAGAGAGAGAGTGAGAGTGAGAGAGAGAGAGAGTGAGAGACATATATATATATATACACATACAATATATGTATATATAATATGTATACATGTATAATGTGTGGTTGTGTGTGTGTGTGTGTGAGTATATATATGCTTGAAGAGATATATATGTATGTATAACACAGAAATGGAAAATTTTTATAGGATCCACAATTTCTGAGTTATGCCTGACAGAAGAAGCGTGAGGGGTGGTATGCTTTTTGTTACAACATGATGATTGATGGTATGCTTTATTTCGAAAACGATTAACTTTAGCAAAAAAATGGTCTTAGACAAACCCCAAGTTAATTTTGCCTAGGAATCGCGTGGTAGTACAGATTTAACATAACTTTCCCATAAAGCTGAAAAAATGACAGTAACTTTGTAATTTTAAATGACATCATATTTTTTAATCAAACAGTTCGATTCTAGAGCTTATTTTATGCTCCTTTTACCGGAAGGAAAATTTTGATAGGATCGACCAATTCTGAGTTATGCTCGATGGAAGACGCGGAGGAGGGTATGCTTTTTGTAACTAAAGGATGGCTCACCCCTTTATTTAAAAAAAGATTAACTTTAGCAAAAAATGGCCTTAGACATACCCTAAGTTAATTTTGCCTAGGAATCGCGAGGTGGTAACAGATTTAACATAACTTTCTCATCTTGCTGGGAAATGACACTCTTTATTTTAAATGAAAGTGCCATATTTTTGTTGTACAATTCGATTCTAGGGTTTACTTTATGGCTCTTTTATTGAATGGAAAATTTTGATTGGATCGACTAAATCTGAGTTATGCCCGACGGAACCCATGTGAGGGGGGTATGCTTTTTGTAACAAAAATTAACATTAGGTTTGTATAAGATCATTGATTGTAAAATTAAATTAATTTTAATTATTTTAAAATAAGAAGTCTTTTCAGAGGATCTTCGGAAGAGGTCAAAACAGAGAAAACTTCCTTACGGTTTTCGCCGAGCTTTCGACAGTTTTATACTGTCATCTTCAGGGCCTGTTTTATTATCATATAAACAAACAATTAAAAGATGACAGTATAAAACTGTCGAAAGCTCGGCGAAAACCGTAAGGAAGTTTTCTCTGTTTTGACCTCTTCCGAAGATCCTCTGAAAAGACTTCTTGTATCCAGCAGGTCGATAATCTAGTTCATCGTTAATTTAAAATAATTAATAAATTTTTATTTTTTTAACGAAGGTATTTCCACTACGAGGATATATGAACACTCGGAGTGCCGGTGTTTTTGAAAAAAAAGCCTATTTGTATGTCGGGTTGGAAAGCAGGGCTGCTTTCGAACTTTACAGTGGTGAGCGCCGAGTCAACGATTAAACCGTTGTGCCCAACGCCCCCAGATAAATGTTTTGAAGTACGTGCGATGCTTAGGAGGAAGTATAGAATTTAGGTGAGCAGTGAAATTTGGTTGTCGGAACGATTTGAATGTTGGCATCGATAACGGAGAAGAGATAGAAACTTATCGATGATGAGGGATCGATGAGAGGAATGGGTATTGAGTCGAAAAATCAGCTGTTCCGATGGGTATCGAGGGTGGCCGGCCAATAAGAGTGCGGATCGCACTCCCCTCTCCCGTTCACGTCACATCGACCGGCTCTGTGAAGAGATAATAGACGAGAGTCGAGAATCGTCGAAGAGTCGTGAGTTGAAACGGTGTCGGACGACGGTTCAGTCTCGGCCCTCTCTCATTTGCCAAAAGCGTTCCTTCTCAACTGAATCCTTCCTTTTACGCAGATTCTTGTTCCCTAGCAGTTGGAAACAGCGCCAGGACCCTCCACCGACCGCCAAGTTCGCGTTGAAGCATCTTCCGACGTCGGAGGTTCGTCTCGGCCCGCGGGCTTTGTGAAATTCAGTGGTTCCCAGGTGATTTTGTAACGGCATCACAATTCCGATCGCAAACAGACCAGAACAATCCGGCAACGAAGCCGCCTTACCGGAGGAGATGGGACATCACATCACCCATGTACGTTCTAATTTATTTACCATAAAACCAACTTCACCACTTACGATTATGAAATATCACAATTCGCGCAAACCTCGTCTCGAAACAAATAACTATGTTTTCGCCCCTTCTCAAAAGAGAGATAAAAATAGTAGTTATAGGTCTAAAAAGGAGTTCGGGCCAAAAAATCGTCAGAAATATTTGGGTATGATCAATTCTGGCGTCTTCAACGGACGATCTACCGAATCGACAAATACATTCTTTATTCCAATTCTTAATTATTCTGACGGATTTATATTAGTGTAAAATACAACACAAAAAACAAAAAGTCGACCGTATATTAACCCACAATATACGGACACAAACAGGCGATAAAAGATGTAAGAGTTTTATATCTCCTTCCATCTCTTCCCGTTTGGGACGCGTTGAAATTGAATAATTTCCTTTAATTTTTATATTTTTCATTTATTTTTTTTAATGAAAAACTGTTTGTTATTCTTATATTTGATTTTGCGTAGGCAGGGACAGACGAGCAGAGGTTGGACGTTCGGCGTACAATAGTTTTTTTTATGCTTAATGTAAATTGTGTGTTATTACATGATTTTTATCGGTTGATAGAGTAACTGTGCCAGACTTACCGAACACAAGAAAAATTAAGAAGGATCCTGCTTGGTAAATTTGTCACAGTTTTAATATTACAGTGCTCTCATTCTAATCCGAAATTCGGTACTTCGAAAAGACTGTTCGAATTTGAACTGGAAAAAATCTAGAAGTTAGAATTTTAAAGGTAACAAAGGAAACATTATTTGTGGGGGGAGGGAAAGAGAGAGAAAGAGCAAGTGAGAGAGTGTTAGTAAGAGGAAGATGATGGGAGAGAGAGAAAAAGAATAGAGAGTGAGGCAGAGTGAATGAGAAAGTAAGTGGAAGTGATTGCAAGAGAATGAGAGAGAAAAAGAAGAGAAAGAAAGAGAGAGAGAGAATGAGAGAGAAGAAGGAGAGAGTGAGAGAGAACGAAATCGTGAGTGGGAGTAAGAGAGAGAGGGAGAGAGAGTGTTAGCAAGAGAAAGATTGTGGGATAGAGAGAAAGAGAGTATGAGAGAGAAAAAGAATAGAGAGTGAGGGAGAGTGAATGAGAAAATGAGTGGGAGTAAGAGAAAGAAAGATAGAGTGAACGATAGAGAAAAAGGAAAGAGTGAGAGTGAATGAGAGAATAAAAAAGTGAGTGGGAGTTAGAGAGAAAGAGAGAGTGAATGAGAGAGAGAATGGAAAGTGAGTGGGAGTGAGAGAATAAAAGGAATGAGAGTGAATGACAGACAAAAAGAAAAGAGAGGGGTGAGAGAGAATATGAGAGAGAAAAAGAATAGAGAGTGAGTGAGAGTGAATGAGAAAGTGAGTGGGAGTAACAGATAGAAAGAGAGAGTGAACGAGAGAGAAAAAGGAGAGGGAGCGATTGTGAATGAGAAAGAACAAATAGTGAGGGAGAGTGAGAGTGAATGAGAGAATGAAAAAGTGAGTGGGAGTAAGAGAGAAAAAGAGAGTGAATGAGAGAGAAAAAGGAAAGTGAGAGAATGGAAAAGTGGGTGGAAGTAAGAGAAGGAATGAGAGAATAAAAGGACCGAGAGTGAATGAGAGACAAAAAGAAAAGAGAGAGAGAGAGAGAGAGTAGAATTCTAGTGAAAAGAATAAAAAGAGATAATGAGAAAATGAGAGGCAGTAAGAGAGAGAGGGGGGAGGGAGAATGGAAAAGCGAATGGGTGTGTGTGTGTGTGTGTGTGTGTGTGTGTGTGTGCGTGCGTGCGTGCATGCGTCCGTTCAATCTTTTACTGCCCTTCACTATTAAAAAATGAAATGTTCGATAAGTCTACAATTTTCTAGAATTAAGTGTAATTCTTACTTAATGCTTAAAAACGAATGAAAAGAGGAAGAAGCAATGAAGAAAAGTTGAAAAATGTTTAAGAACTTAATTTTTTAAAGAAAAATTGACAGTTTTCTAATAGGGTCAACGTTTCATTTATGCAATAATAATAAGGTGTTGGCTTTTTTTTAATATATACCCTCTGTAATCCGGATTTTTCAGTAATCTTAATACTCTCCTGCAGAAATTAGTTCGGATTACTGAGAGGGCACTGTTTTTCTCTCCAGTCTAGTTTTCTCCTGACTTTACCGTTTTAAACTTAAAATAATAAATAACCCACATGGCGGATTTCATCGAGTAAGTTCACATCTTCAAAACTGCCTGGGCACAATGCGGATATAAAATAGAAAATAAATTGTGATTTTTTTACAGTGTTCTCATTATTAACATCTTGTTTGTCAAGCCAGATAGGAAAGAACAAATATTAGCCATTACTTTGGCGACTGACCAAAATTTTCCAAATCTATCCATTCCATTAAACTGGTGTAAGTTAGAGGGGGACACATTAAGACCTTTGCCTGCCAAGCCCACTTTTATTTAAAGCTAAGGCTTGTGTACAAGTTTTACTTTGGTTTAGCTGAGCAGCTTCAATCGATTTAATTACAATTTAAACTTGTGTCCACCCAAGTCGACATATTATATACATAACGTAGTAGTGTATTTATATACATAACGTGTATACTTAGTCTATCGACGTCAGAGATCTAAACCAAACCGTCGGATGCCCTACGAAAGAAATGAGACAAATAAATATAAAAAATGACTTCGCCTCAAAATTCTGCCACGTGTTCTAATAATCGACTTTTATAGAATGATTATACGATAATGTTACGTAAAATCGTGTCGAACACAACCGTATGCTCTAATAATTATCATCAAGATATTTATTTAGAAATCGTGAGATGCGATCTGGTGTGATGTGGGTTTCAGAAAAACATTTTATTTATCGTGCCAACGTTTCGATCTTTATTGAGATCATCTTCAGGGCTCAAAGAGTGCCCCCTAGTGACACGACACGCAAGAATGGCACAATTACACAGAAGACAAACACTTTGATCCCTGAAGATGATCTCAATAAAGATCGAAACGTTGGCACGATAAAGAAAATGTTTTTATGAAACCTACATCACACCCGACCGCATCTCACGATTTCTGAATAATTATCGATTAACGGTCACTAAACACCACACATCATCAAGATAGTTTGAATGCTCATTTTTATTTTATACTTAAAATTGCCTGTCTATTTAACACTCATTGAAAACAAAGAAATGTAATAAGTATTTTAGCGTTTCAGGATTTAGGTTTTAGTTTTTTTTTTGTACACTGCGCTCTCAGGAATCCGAACTAATTGCTGCAGGGATGTATTTGGATTTTTGAAAATTTTGGATTACATAGGGTAAAAAAAACAATTTCAACGCAACATTTTATTATTGATTAATATAAAGTTGAATATATTATAAAATACATATACTGTCTCAATTTTTCTTTAAAAAAATAAGTTTTTTAAACTTATTTAACTTTTCTTCATTGCTTCTTCCTCTTTTTCACTCACTTTTAGGCAGTTTATTATACTTAGCACAAGAAAAATTTATCACAAAATAAAATTTGTCAATCAAATGTCTTGATCTTCCCTCACTCTCTCACTCTCATTCACTTTCACTCCCTCTGCCCCTAAATACTTTAATTATTATTGACGTCTTATTAAGATTTAGTTTCAATAGCCCAATGAGCATAATTAGTGATAATAGGTTGAAAAGAGGAAGTCCTTTTTTTCCTCATAGCGACTTTTAAATTCCCAAATAAAATATTCCTTTAACCACAAATCCATTTGTTCAAATAACATTTCTCTTATTAATTATTAATCGTATTAACATCATATTCAATAAAATGCAAGTAAAGTTTCAATAGTGTCTAGGGTTTTTGACCGATCGGTTGTGACATTTTTCGAATATTGGTCTTACTGACATTTCACGGGATTCAATATTGTTTTCCAGTCGAATGTTCACCTAATTACTACTAATAAAAAATATAAATGTGCCCATTAACAACTTCTTATGTATAAACAAATAATCAAAAACATAATGAGATTATTGCCATGAAAAGTTAAACTGTTCTATATACGTGTACTGTACAGTTTTCTTCACATTTTCCCGATAGCGAAAAGAAAGCCGTGCTCTTTTCTCTCTTAAAATAAATATGAAATTTACTTCAAAAAGCTATTCTTCTTTTTAAATTAATATGCAACACGTCCCAAAACGGATGAACGCCCTTCGTAAGTGGGGCTTGATGAAGAGACAAATCCATTCTGATCTCTTTTGTAAATGTTTTGGAAAACGCAGTAAGCCAAAACATACTGACGATTTTTTCCGACATTTCTAAATACATCTGACAAAACATTAGCAACAAAACATTTTATTGCTATAAAATTCATAGCTAGTCAGAAATCGTGAGATGCGGTCTGGTGTGATGTAGGTTTCAGAAAAACATTTTCTTTATCGTGCCAACGTTTCGATCTTTATTGAGATCATCTTCAGGGNGACTTAACAAAAGAATATTTCTTGTCTACTGCTTTGATCCCAAACATCTGATAAAGTAAATAAATAATGTGTGGTGATTAGTGACCGTTAGTCGAAGATTATTCAGAAATCGAGAGATGCGGTCTGGTGTGATGTACGTTTCAGAAAAACATTTTCTTTATCGTGCCAACGTTTCGATCTTTATTGAGATCATCTTCAGGGCCTGGGATTTACAAACATTGTTTAGATTTAACAAATACATGTAGGATGTGGAAAAAAGTGAATTTATACACATCCACATCCTACATGTATTTGTTAAATGTAAACAATGTAAATCCCAGGCCCTGAAGATGATCTCAATAAATATAGAAACTTTGTATATGTGTGTTATCCATACTGGGACACTTGCAAATAAGCCTGTAATTAAAATTAAATCCGATTTAAACCCCTTCTTATGAACTGGGGTAACGTAAGAGCATTTTCAAAAAGTACTCGTGCAGTCGAACAGTCAGTCGAAACAAGCGAGCAATAGGTGCAGTGATTAGCCTAACCATCTACGAAGAAAAAACTCCGATATACCATCCGGT